AACATCGTACTTCTTTTTTATTTGCTGTGATTTCTTTTCTGATAAACTGTAATTTAAAAAATTGATTTAATTTTTTTTAAATTTATTAATATTTTAATATGCAATATTTTATTCAGTTAAATAAATAAATATGTGTGCGCGCGCGCGCGCGCGCGTGTGTGTGTGTGTGTGTGTCAAGTTTTATTTATAAAATCTTGCTTTATTTGTAGTATTTTATTTTGGTGAGCTATAATAAATACAAGTAATGGATGAAATTTGAATTGTTTAAATATTTTTATATACAGGATGGGACTATTACTATCTTAGATATATCTTTAAAGATCTATGAGATCCAGGAGGAAGATCTGTGTAATCAAATTGCATGGTATAAAGAGAGCTATCATACGGCAATAAATCAGTCGTGCAAGATGTATCCATTTCAAGAACAAATTGATAAGATCCTCATTTATGAAGACTGTAACAAAATTCAATATGAATAAAAAAATGTATATTGCTGAATGATATTCTGATTGCACTTGACGTTCGCATTGAATTGAACATTTAAAAATGTATGCAATAAACTTAAACAAAACGGTAGCTTAAATAAAAGTAAAAGTGAACATGAAAAGCGAATAACTTATGAAGGGAATGAAATTGGAATTCTCGCAATAGTGGCTCGAAATCCTCACATTAGTTTGCGACAAACTGAACCAGAAACTGGTATTAGTCTAAGGAATGTATTCTACATTTTGGACCGTTACAAATTACATCTTTATATCATCTCAACCTTTACGAAGCATTATATGAAATAAATTTTGTAAATTGTATTGAATTTTGTTAAGGAGCTCAATATTAAATTCGGAACAATTACTCATTTTTCATACCGTATCACTTATTGAGACAATAGGTATTTATTACTTACAGGAATGTTAATTTTGCATTTCTGGGCAATGTATTCTTATTAGCTACAGCAGATCAAATATCAGAAGTACTAATATATACATATAATGCAATATCGGCTTTTATATATATATA